TAAAAATTAAAAAAAAAAAAAAAAAAAAAAAAAAAAAAAAAAAAAAAAAACAGGCACTTTTTGTAACCTGTTCTGTTTCTCTTTTTCTTCATTGTTTTATTGTAGTTAATTTAGCACCCAAAAATGTACTTAGTATACAATAAGGGAACAATAAATGGTAATGAATGACTCCTTGAGCTAAGTGTTTCCAATTTATGTGTGAAATTAGATTTTGTAATGTACTTATAGTTTCATGTAAGCAAATATTTTCCGAGAAGGCAAAAGTTTCCTTTGGAACAGAACTTTAACCAAAATGTGTCAGTCTTTTTCATTTAGAAAGGAGATGATTATTGTAATAATATTTATTATTATTATTAGAAGCTGCAAGATCAGTAGCTAAGTCATACTAAGTGCTTTTTTTGCATTACTCACTCATAGCATCTTTCCAACAACCCAATTAGATAGATGATACTGTTGTGCCCATCTTTGTGGATAAGGAAATTGAGCTCAGATGGGACCAGCAGTTGGTGTAATGGCTATGTCACTGAACTCCCACATAGTCGAAAACGGTTCGGGTCCCAGACCCAGTGGCTTGGACTCACACCTGGTGCTTGTGCGTGCATGCCCAAAATCTCGAGAGGAGATTGGAGGAGAGGGGACTGTGGCATGGCCATCACCCCTGGGGGGTGATTTCTCGCTTTCTGTCTCTCTGTCTCTCTCTGTCTTCCTGGCGAGAGCAAAAACCTCTCCAAGAAAGAAAGAAAGAAAGAAAGAAAGAAAGAAAGAAAGAAAGAAAGAAAGAAAGAAAGAGAGAGAAAGAAAGAAAGAAAGAAAGAAAGAAAGAAAGAAAGAAAGAAAGAAAGAAAGAAAGAAAGAGAAATCGAGCTCAGAGAAATTAAGGAAATATGCTCAAGTTCACATGGCTAGTAAGTGGCAGGACCAGGATAGGAACTCAGTTTATTGATGGTTAAGATTTGGACTTGGTACTTCCAATGGGAGAATATGAGTTTAACTTTGTCCTCAAAATTTCTGCAGAAGTTGTCAAAGGGATGCTTAAAAGAAAAGAAAAGAAAGAAAGTCAGTATCTGTACTATCAACTGGGGAAGCCTCCTGCTAGGAGAAACTGTGGGGTTTCTACATTATGAAGTTCAAGCAAGACCAGGCTGAGGGAAGGGTATACCAACCCGAGAGGTATTGTATATAAAAGCCCACCTAGATAGTGAATTAAGAGAGCATCTTTTATTTTTAGCTTTCTAAAAATGTTATTTGTTTTTAAAATTTCTTTCTTTCATGAGCAAGAGACAGGGAGATAGCACCCCATCCACACACAAGGCTCTTTTTTTTTAGAGGTTTTTGCTATAGGGTGCGTGCACTCGCCAGACAGACAGAGAGACAGAAAGTGAGAAATCACCCCCCAGGGGGGATGGCCATGCCACAACCCCTTCTCCTCCATTTTCCTCTCAGGATCTTGGGCACGCACACACACGCGCCCAGCGTGAGTTTTTTAAGCCACCAAGTCTGGGACGCGAACCGCAGTCGGCTACGTGGGAGTCCAGCAACATAGCCATTACACTAACTGCTGGTCCCTTTTCCCTTCTTTTTGGGAGAGGTTTTTGCTTTAGGGCACGTGCACTTGCCAGAAAGACAGAGAGATAGAAAGCGAGAAATCACCCCCCAGGGGGGATGTCCATGCCGCAGTCCCTTCTCCTCCACTCTCCTCTTGGGATCTTAGGCATGCACGCACACACGCCCGGCATGAGTTTAAGCCACCAGGTCTGGGACTCGAACTATAGTCGGCGGCTACATGGGAATTCAGCCACATAGCCATTATGCTAACTGCTGATCCCCCCACACAGGATCTTGATACCATGATCTATGTACCCCCAACTTCAGCCAGTTTATCAAATACTTTTAACATCTATTTAAATAATTGTATGGTTTTAATTCTAGCATATTAAATCAAATCATGCTCTAGTAACAGTTCCTAAATATTAATTCATTGTTGCATTCTTAAAATAAGTTATGTAGTCACAGGCAAGACAATTCACTCTGCAAAATACATAAACAACTTGGAAACGAATTAACAAGTACCTCAGAAGGCAGGGGAAAGAACTTAAAACATCTTTTGTCTTTTAGAATTCTTAGAATTGGGACCAGTAGGTAGCACAGTTAACCACTGCACCAGAGGCCCACCTGGCCGAGCACGGTTTGAGTCCCAAACTTGGCAGCTTGCCTTTCTCACTTTCTCTCTCTCTCTCTCTCTCTTTCTCGGTGCACATGTCCTCTAGCAAATTTTAAAAAATAATAAATAAAAGTAAATAAATAATTCTTTTTTAAAAAAAAGGAATTCTTAGAATTTTTGAGAAACACCCCAGGCATGTGTGCTTGCATATCCTATGCCCAAAATCCTGAAAGGAGGAAGAAATAGAGAAGGGATTACAGTAGGACCATCCTTCGTGGGGACTGCTTTCTCACTTTCTCTCTCTCTCTCCAGACAAGTGCATGCATCCTATGGCAAATTGAAAGAAAGGGGGAGAGAGCCGATAGCCCATCCTCTGCAGTGTAGTCAGTGGCTGACAGGACTGCAGAGCTGGAAACCACATACTGATTGTGGTTCCTGTTCCCAGTAGGTCAACTTGTAAAACAGAGCGGTGCTGACACACACATGTGCACCCAGCCAGAACCTGGCAGGCTGGGGTCTGGAGGAAGGAGATTACAGCATAACTGGGCCCTGTAGAGGGTGCTTCTCTCTCTCCCCCTCTCCTTCTCTCTCTCTCGTGCACATATATGCTGCATCATGGATGGAAAAAAAAAAGTCAGATGGAGAGTAAATATTCTTATTTTTCCCCCTCCAAAATGCAGGAGAGTGAGGAATAAAGATACTTTGCATTTGGAAGATGTAAAAAATGATTGTAAATCTTTGGTTGATCTCGATTATTTTCTACAAGAGGAAGAGAGGGGAAGAATGGCAGACGTAATTAGTTGTGAGGCGGAGCACCACAGCAGGCGAAGTATCAGAGCAAGGAAAACGTAAGGAAGGAAGGAAGGAGCAAGGCAGTTACCAGAAATGGTATCTCTAAACTTGCGTTTCTCTCATTTAAATGTATTTACACTCTAAAACTCTTCATCGCTGAGGGTATGTTGCAGGTTAAACACACCCTTAGCTTTCAAAAATAAAAGTAGGAGTCACCTAGGAAAGCCGTAGAGTTGCACTTGACTCCATTTCAGCCACACGTGTGAGAAGTTTTAATAGCATGCGTGTACACCAGTGCCGTCTCGGGATAACCCGGCTTCCAGTGACTGAGCCGAACAGCAAACGTTTGAATGGAATCTGATGGGTCAGAGCTGGAGCTTTCTGTTCTTTTTGGTGTTGGTAATTAAAGGGAAAAACACTCTAGTGTTACCAGCTAATTATTTCAGTCCTTTGTCTCATTTTTCTTATCTGTCTTCTAGACAGATTTTGAAAAAGAGATTGGAGAATGGAAGAAAAGGTTTTAAATCGTTTTCTGGCACCTGTGGGGACGTAGGTAGGGCACTCCTTTAGCTCTTAGACACACTTGCCAGCAGAGGGCCGAGGAGGCTAGCCTGTTCAGGCCCTGTATTGTAATTGAAGTCGTGTAACTAAACAGTCACATCTAATGTGTGTCTTTGGATGTGAGAATAAATAAATAAGTGAAACCTCGCCCCAGTCTGGGAAGGGTTCAGAGTATGTACTATGAAGGGTTAGTAGTACTATTTTTATAGGAAAATGTGAACCTGCGACTCAAATTGGGAAACTAGAAAATGCTTCAGCTATTCAGACAGTCATCAGTCAATCTTCCAGTCACCTAACAGTCGTCTCGTTGGCTATATCCCTTTCCAAAGTAGCCATCACTAATTAGAGTTGCTGCTTCTCACCATGAGCTAACGCCGACTCAGCGGTTTCAGCTGGCTTTTCCCCTCGAGCTTACGGAACCGTTCGTTCGGATCTCTGAAATGATCTTGTTTGTATTCCAGAGCTCTCATTTGGAAGACAGTGAATCAGCAGCGTTACTTTGCTGTGAATGCGAAGAACCAGAAATCTTTAGTGATTCCAATGTACGTAGGTATATGTTCTTATACAGCCTTTGGTGATTCAGGTAAACATTTTCTGAGTAAGTTTGACTCTTAAAAATGCACTAGAAGGGGGACCAGTAATTGGCTATGCCGCTGGACTCCCATGTAGTTGACCTTGGTTCGAGTCCTGGACCTGGTGGCTTAAACTCACACTGGGCACATGTATGTGCGTGCCCAAGATCCCAACAGAATGGAGGAGAAGGGATTGTGGCATGGCCATCTCCCCCTGGGGGTGATTTCTCACTTTCTGTTTCTCTGTCTCTCTCTGTCTTTTTGGCAAGCGCACGCACCCTATAGCAAAAACCTCCCCAAAAATAATGTACTAGAGGGACCAGTGGATGGCATAATGGTTACATCGCTGGACTCCCACGTAGTCGACTGCGGTTTGAGTTCCAGACCCAGTGGCTTAAAACTCAACTCTGGGTGCATATGCATGCATGCCCAAAATCCTGAGAGGAGAGTGGAGAAGGGATTGCATTGTAGCCATGGTGGTGGTGGGGGGTGGTTTCTTGCTTTATCTCTTTATATGTCTCCGTCTGGTGAGTGCACATTCCCTATAGCAAAAATCTCTCTCAACAAAAGTTCAAAATTCAACTAGAGGAGCCAGCAGGTGGAGTGTGGTGATTAAGGTGCTGGACTGCCTTGTAGCCCACCATGGTTCAAGTCCCAGGTCTTGAGAGTTGCTTACCTTCTCTCTCTCTCTCTCTTTCTCTGTCTCTGGTGAAAACACATGCCCTGTAGCAAATTAAAAAATAATAATAATGATAAGTAAAAATTAAATAAATCATTATTTTTTAAAAATGCAAGCAGAGAGGCCGGCAGGTGGCATGGTGGTTAAGGTGCTGGACTCCAACATGGCATGCCCAGAATTTCAGAAGAAGGGATAGTAGTGTGACCATCCCCCTTGGGGGGCGATTTCTCACTTTCCTTCTCACTGCCTCTCTCCATCTCTTGGGCAAATGCACATGCCCTTTTTAAAAATCTCAAAAAAGCAACTAGAATAGCACCTATTATTTCACCTAGGCCCCACTAAGACAATCTGAGAAGGCAAAGAGGTGACTTGGAATGAATGTACATATAAATAGTATGGTATATTTAAAGATATAGTACTGTCCACTCAAAGTAAATCTATCAAGTAGAAAATATGTATCCTGGAAACTTGAGTTTCTCTCAGTGGGGAATACAATTGTCTTTGTGGAGTTTTTTTTGCCCCTCATGAATACTTTTTTTTTTTTCAGAATCAAAAGTATCCTTTTCCTTATGGAAACTGCTTGGTACTCTTGCTGTCACTGGCCCTTTATTCCCATGTACACAGAGCTGACTTGCCGCCTGTGGATAGCATTGAGCCGAATATTGTTGTAATCACTGGGCTGGGAAGTCAGTGATCACACCTGCTGTAGAACGTAAAACTGTGAGTTTGTTTAGGTTTGGGAAAGTCAGGATGTAGTTTTCTGTGTTTTTCTATGTGAAAATGCTTCATGATTTTTCCCCATGACCCGATATCTAATGACATTTCATAAAATGGAATTATAAGATGGAATTTCATTAGATGGAATTGTTTATCTCACCTGACTTCCAGCATAAGTTACCCACGGAGTCAGGCTGAAGTTCGAAAATGACTTAAGTTGGCTCAGTGAGTGATGAGATTAGTGGAGATTCTCAGTATAGCTGAGATACGAGTGAATTTTTCCCAAGTCGTCGATGGCCTGTGGTTCACACACATTTTTCTACCTTGAAGGAGTGCCAGAAGCATCTTCTAGGGAAAGGAAGGAAATGGCTATGGCTTGGGAAGTTTCATGAGCTCTATAACTGCCAATTAGACCCTCAAAAAAAAAAAAGTCGAAATCTGAGGAAGTCAGGCTGTAAGAATATAGACATAGTCCCAGTTACGTTAATGAAAATTAGAAATAGAGAAGACCTGTCCGTAGCAAGAGGCCCTCGTCTCTGCCCTCAGCTTCTTTCAGCCCAGGTGCCTGGTTTACATTTTGATCTACTTGTTTCCCACTGGCTCTAAACTGAAATCTTATTTAGTGATACCCTGATTTTTAAAGACTTAGTTGATGATATTGCTCTTTGTGGTAAAGCTTATGCAGATTTAGAATGGCACTCAGTAAAACCTTACTCAAGCACAATTTTGGATCGTCACTCTCACAAGAAGCTGGACTCCTGTTGGGAATTCCCCCCCCCTATTTTATTGGAGGTTAAATATGGCCCTGTAGGCCCAACCATGGTGGTAGAGACAGTAAGGTCCCACTGAGTGAGACTGGACCCACCTGAACAGTCCAGGCACAGGAGCAGACACCTGTAATCCTAGCTAATTGGGAGGCTGGGGCAGAGGTCAAAAACACCCTTCTCTCTCTATCACTAAAAAAAAAAAAAATAGGTGGGGGGGACCAGCAGTTAGCGTAATGGCTATGTTGCTGGACTCCCATGTAGTCGACTGGGTTCAAGTCCCAGACCCAGTGGCTTAAAACTCACACCA